GGTCCGACTCGACGATTTCCATGATTTTATCGACATTTTCGACGATTGGCCTACCAGAGCGTGCCTCATCTTCGACGTCCATATTACCAGAACGGAATCGTTGGAACCACCGCTTTGCTGTTGCATTCGATACTGTATTGGGTCCATAAACAGCACAAATTTTTTTGGCCGCCTGCTCCGCCTTTTCACCTTGGTCGTAGTGGTACTGAAGAATGTATCGAATTTTCTCTTTTTTTACCTCCATTTTGGAACGCTGTAACACACAACTGACCAAACACAAAACTGTCACAGAACTTTTTTTGAAGCGTAATGTCACCTTTAAATCGCCGTATAGTATGACCCGATGCGATGTATACATCGTGAAATATGGCTCACTAAAGACATCTAGCGGAAAACGCTCAGAACTTTTTATTTCACCTAATATATCGAGATGTTTAAGGAATCAATGCTAGCAGTCTAGTATACTACAAATATCACTTTTCAAAAGGATGGACAAACCTAGGTTCGATAATGTTAGGTAATGTTAGGTTGCACTAGATTAGATTAGTTGATGTCAAAATGAGTGATGTTAAGTTAAATAAGTAAGAATAAAGCTTTGTGATAGGAAGAAGAAAAGAAGGTAAAAAATTACGTATTCTTGAGTTTTGATTCAGATTTCGACGAAACTGTAATATTTGAATGTAATTTTTAATACTTCCCATTTTAATACTTCATTTAATTTGAAATTAACGTTTGCAAATGATTTAAAACATTAAAAATATAAAAAACATGTATAAGAAAAGTTCCATTATTTAGGCTAAAAATGATCTATTTTATCTATTCTCCATTGATGTCGAGGAGACGTAGACAAATTATGTCGACTATATCTATTATTTGTAATTTACTCGCTTGTTTGCTTGTTGCTACTTGTGAAACTAGAAATGCATAAAATAGTCACAATTGCGAACCACTATTCATGAACTTAGTAATCTGATATGATAATATATGTGACATCCGAATGTCAACTACGAAGAATTCAGGAAAAATGTAAGTATTGTAAGCGTATAAGTCGCGAGACTGTAGACGTGCAAGATCACGAGACTCTATCTATGTATATGAAGGAGAGAGAGTGAATGTGTGAGAAAGTGTCGGCGAGAAAAATCAAAGTGTTCCGCGCAAGAGTAGATGACGCGATTCGAGAATCAGCGTTATAGCGGTATATCTTTAAAGATGGACCGCGCGAGAGTAGACAATGCGATTCGACAGTCGGCGTTAGAGCAGTATATCTTTAAAGACGAACCGTGCGAGAGCGGACGACGCGATATGACAGTCGGCGTTAGAGCGGTGTATCTTTGAATACAAAAACGATACGATTGTTTTCCGCCGAATACTGTAACGGTAGGAAGTCCTTTGTGCGTATAGCTATTAAAGAGCGAACGAATCAATCTAGCTTTAGTCTTACAAGGAGATGCCACAACCTGCTAAATCGATTTCTGAACGAGACATAGCATGTTTGCTAGCTGCGATGTTAAGCATCAACACCCTAATTGATATTTGTGCAAATGGGCCTTTGTTTATGAGAAATTACAATATAAAGTTTGGATTGCGGGACTGTATCACGGATATGGCTAAAAATGCGACTGTCTTTCAGCGAGGTGGCGTGGCTGAGCAGACTGAGGCTCCCACGTCGAAAATTTTTGAGCCGGCAGCGAGCGTTCGAAACCCGGCGACGAGTTATCTTTGTGCGGTGTTTTTTTTTTGTTTTTCTTACCTTAGAGCATGTAATTAATGTTTTTCGAATATGATACATTTGTTTTGCATATGTTTCGTTTTTATGCTATTAATCAGAGGTAACTAGGGAAGTGTCAGGCTTGTTTAACGCAAACACGAATATAGACATATTTTGCATTGCTTACAATGCAATATATATTTTAGTAAATATTAAAACGTGTTTGATGCTGATGATAAATAATAAGAAAGTGATTGTATGCACATCGCATCACCTCGAATGTCCAAATGTATACTTTCATTGCCTGTAAATAAATCAAGATAGTTGTATATTCTCGTGATCATATTTTTAACCTGCCTATAAAAGTAAACATTCTACGGCAGGTAGATTGCTATACATTTCAACGATATTATTTTCAAGTTATATGTTTACTTATATTTCTCGGCGCGGAATATCTTGTTGTATGTTTGATTATATGTCCTCTCCTCTCAACAAGAACTATTAAATATGAAAACATGATGTTCGATATCCAAGTTATAGTTAAATATATCTGGCTTTGTGTTAAAACATTTGTTATGTTTTAATTGTTTTTATACAGAATTCCATCCGCAACATTGTGAAAAAATAAAAGATATTTATAACGTATAAGTTTTATTATATGACAATGTTTTATTATATGATAATGTTTTATCATATAACAATGTTTTATTATATGACAATGTTTTATTATATGACAATGTATATTACACAACAATGTTCTATTATATGACAGTGTTTTATTATACGATAATGTTTTATTATACGACAATGTTTTATTATATGACAATGTTTTATTATACGACAATGTTTTATTATATGACAGTGTTTCATTATATGATAATGTTTTATTACATGACAATGTTTTATTATATAACAATGTTTTATTATACGAAAATGTTTTATTATATGACAATGTTGTATATAATGTTTTCATATGAAAGTAATGTACTAAAATATATATTTCATTGTAAGCAATACAAAATATTCGTGTTTGCGTTAAACAAGCCTGACACTTCCCTAATTACCTCTGATTAATAGCATAAAAACGAAACATATGCAAAACAAATGTATCATATTCGAAAAACATTAATTACATGCTCTAAGGTAAGAAAAACAAAAAAAAAACACCGCACAAAGATAACTCGTCGCCGGGTTTCGAACGCTCGCTGCCGGCTCAAAAATTTTCGACGTG